GCTTATTAGTTAACACAGAGGTTCTCAAACTGGGGTCCCAGGATCCTCAGGGGTCCGCAAGAGGTATCTTGGGGTCCTCAAAACATTTCACTAAATTTTTAATTTGGTTTATATTTTTAAAAATGCATGGAGAAAAATGAACTAATAAAACAAAAATAATAAACTTAGGTACCACTTTACAATAAGGCTCTCCTTTTAAATGGCTTATAAAGAGTTTATAGGTTATTAATTCATCTGTAAACACTTTAGAAATCATTAACAAATGCTTATTATGCAATAATTAATGACAAGAAAGACAKAACTGTCCAGTTTCTTACCAATGAGACTAATCTGTTCACGTACATCTAAAAGTGCTTATTAAACATTTCAGACTAGGTTACAACATTGTAAGCACAATAATAATAAGAAACACATATTTTAACATATTAATATTGTAACCGGACAGTTTAGTCTTTTTTAACTTTAATTAATGCATAATAAACACTTATTAATAATTTATAAAGTGTTTACATGCAGATGAATTAATAACCTATCTATAAACCCTTTAAAAGCCATCTAAAAGGGGAGCCTTATTGTAAAGTGGTACCTAAACTTAATAAAAATATACATTCCCACGGCATTTAGGGGTTTTGAAAACAGCATGGGGTTTATGAGGGGGTCCCTGGAATTTTTTCACTCTTGTAAGGGGTCCCCAGACCCAAATGGCTGAAGAACCCCTGAGTTAACTGTCTGGAAAAAAAATTAAAGCCTGAGTTCAGAGACTTGTTTGTATATTTGTGATACGAAGTGCCAGTTTTTGCTGTCGCCTCGCTGTGCCTTCACCTGTTTCCTTTCCAGGTGAGATGCAAGTCCAGCTCCTAAACCAGACTCTGCTGGAGCTTGGTTTCTATGATGACGGTCCGTACGAGGTGGCAGATCACAAAGAGCATAATGCCAGACTCATCCCTGTGCCTAACCACAGTTACCTGGGTAGGACTCGCCTCCCTGCCTGTGCACAGGAGAGAAAGCGAGGGCTGTGGGAGGATGACACCACGGCTCAGACTGCATCACAGGAACTGTAGCAACTGGAGGGGAAACTTGTTTTAGTGTCACCCTCATTCCCTGGGGATTATTTCTGGCTGAGCCTGTCAGAGTATGACTCATAAAACCCTAAATGTGACTCTGCCTCGTTTCTTGTGAACACTTTCTCACAGTGGGTGGACATGACAAAATGCCTTGAGCTAACCGTGCTTCTCATGATGCCTTCTTTTTGAGGAAGCAAGGGAAATATTCCATGTTCTATCCCCACTACAGCAATGTTATCGTCATTCTGTTTTCATTTGAAGGCAGGGAAATGTGTCAAACTTTGCAGTGGACTGAGTGCAGTCTGAGCCTGAAATGTCATCCGTCCACAAAGAAATCCAGCGTTTCTGCAGGAGAAACGGCTGCCGCTCCACGAAAACAAAGCACCAACCAATCACCACCTGTCTCACCTGCGCTCCCCACTTTCTTCTTCTCCCTTTTTTATCCTCCCCTCACCATTTCACCACTCCATCACTCCCCTCCCACCCTCCTCCTTCTGCTTCTTTGTCTTTTTTTTTTCTTTTTGGGCCATAGGGCTCTTGTTCATGGCTAGCGCCGTGGAAGATGCACTGCTGTACAAAACTCTGGAGCCCTCCAAGAGGCCCACACCGTTTGAGGATGTAGCTCATAATAGCTACTTAGGTTTGTAGGCGTGCAGTGTTATTGTTTGGACCGGACTGGGCTTGTAGTGGACATGGTATCTGTTCTGTCTTTGTCTTGATCAAAATACTACTTCCTATAGCAAGTTTTAGAGCGTCATATATGTACTTTGTAGGACGTTGTCTTTCCTGTCATAAAAAGACAGCCATCAAAATAATTTCTTTGACATTTTAAATGATCGCTTAATTAAAATGTCATCTTTTATTCATTTAAAAAAAGATGGTTATCTTTTTGGGTACAGCTGTTTTAGGGTGTTTGTTCGTCCTTTTAATCCTCAGAAAACTCTGTTGTCTCTAGTGTGTTCAGCCTCTGTTAGCTTGTGTGTTTGTCTGGATGAAGCTTTCCAGGGGATCTTGGTGGTGGTTTTCCTGTTGTTTGTCAGTTTTTTTTAACACATTTGTGTAGAAGAGTTTGACTAACAAACAAGAATGAGACTACATCACTTCCTGCAGCAATTTTGAGCTCCGTTTGCACACATCTGCTCTTACAAATATCCAATGAATAATCTCAGAATACAGACGTAATTCCATAATGGAGGWAGAGGAAAAGCCAAGGACACGTAAAGATGTTAAAACTGATACTTTGCTCTTAGAAGCTTAGAGTCACAACTGTTTGACTGGTTTTATCACCGTGAGATTTGCATCCATACAATGGAAAGATATTCTCTTAGCTTTAACCCTTTAGAACCCGGGCCTAGTTCTACTTTCATGCTAAAACCCAAACCTTATGAGTTAAAGAAGGGGATGTGAGAAGCATCTTTAACAAACATCCTAATATTTATCGTRTGTGAAGTTAAGGAGACGGCCTCTGCTAAACCGGATCTCTTCATTTTTATTGTAGGCTTTTAGTTATTATTCTTCACYGTGTGGATCCGTCATAAATCTCTTCATCCACATTCCTCTAAGCCTGCTTACCGTCACCATATTGAGCTGTCTCCTTGACAACACTAATTCTCTCATGACCTTTTAGCCCTTGTTTATAACATGTGCTTCCATTGATTCCAATCAGAWGCAGTGATTACCTTTAAATGCTTATTAAAAGGGCATAACCTGTTGAATATATTGCCTAGATTTAAAACTACTTATGATAATTTGGTTCTAAAGGTTAGGTTAGGTTACAGTAAAACCAAATTAAATATTCATCAGCTTTCCAGAAGGATGGATTGCGAAGTAAAACAAACAAACAAAAATAGATTATTACTGCAGGTTTATTCTTATAACCAGTTAGTTCAGTTTTACAGTGTTGAGCTCTTCAGAGGCCACCTTGTGAGCGAAAAAGTAGCACCACGTCTCCATTTGTTAGTTTTACAGGAGCTGCAATGTGACATTCCACACCTGCCACCCTGGACCTGCTCTGTTCCTGTGTCCATTTCGTCTCCTGCATGTTTACTCAGCACTAACACACAGTGTCCTCCTCCCTGTTCTCACTCTCTGCATGTTTTTAACAGGAAAACAAAACGCATGTGCTCGCATGTGTTGGTGCGGTTTGCAAACATTAACCCAGCTTGATTAGAAAGTTCTGACTCAATCTGAAGTAAACACGGCTCCACTCCTCGCGCCTTTGCTTCAGTTGGTTTACATGCAAACTAATTCCCACACACACACACACACACACACACATTTACAGAGAAGTACGGTCACACAAAGCACACACACACACACACACACACACACACACACACACACACTACAGAGGAGATGCACCAGGCAATAAATCTCTTTAACATGCTTCCACTTTATTTACATACTGACCTCAGCTGAGGCGGCTGACACAGAGCCACAGCTTCACGAATCTGAAAAGACGAAGGCCAATGCATCGCCTCATGTTTGCTTTTACCAGCAGACACACAGATGTTTCACAATCACAACATTTTCACCCATCATGAATTTGTCATAAAATCAATAGTCACTTAAGGCACACATTTCATTAGAGGGAAGATGAACAGAACGTTGCACACAGTGAGGAGCGGAGCCACAAAACGTCACGTTCAGGACAAACCCCCCTCCTGAACCCTCCTCTTCCTCCTCTTCAACCAGGGTTTTCAGTCGACTCAGCTGTRGGGATAATGAGCCTCGGGGAGCTGACCTTTGTGGCCGGCGCACCTCGAGCCAATCACACAGGAGCCGTGGTGCTGCTGAGGAAGAACAACGTGCACCGCCTGGTGCCGCAGCACATCTTCTGGGGGGAGGAGCTGGCGTCCTCATTTGGGTATTCAGTGGCCACAGGAGATCTCAACAAGGACGGGTGAGAAAAGAAACTAAAGAAATCATTCTAAAACAAAATTAAGGGCCTTGTCCTCTGTCCAGCCTCCATCCCTGCACTAGATTTCATAAAGTTCAACATTTGCATAGTTGTCACTTGGACAGCTACAGGGCTTGTGTCCCTGTGGATGAAATCTGGTGCCTGAAAGGGCGGCTTGACCATTTTATAGCAATTAAGTCATAAAATATGGCCTTTTAAAAAATCTTACTGCTACAACAATTCTATATCTTGTTAAAAAGAAGAAAACAAGGGAGAAATTTAGAATAAAATGTATTTCTAGAAAAATAGAACCAAACCTTTAAAACTTACCAACAGATTTTTTTCACAGAGGAGCTCAAATGTTAACAATGAGTACATGTTATACTCATTTTATTTAATTTTAGTTATATGATCTCGTATAATATAATTTGAAATTACTGTAATTTCCCCCTGGTATCTATCTATCTATCTATCTATCTATCTATCTATCTATCTATCTATCTATCTATCTATCTAT